CCCTCCCTCCCTCCAAACCCCTCTTTCTATCTATCTACCACCCACCCAACCTACCTTTCTAGGGCTCATTGTCTTAATCCACAATGGGCTTTGCTCCCTAGTCCCTTTATAAATGAACAGTTGAGGGGCCAAGCCCAGGCAGCCAGAGCAGTTCCCTTGATGGACGGGAACCAGAGGATTAGGTGATTGAAGAAGAAGAGCTGGATTTATATCCCTCCGTTCACTCGGTGTCTCAGAGCAGCTTACCGTCTCCTTCCCTTCCTCTCCCCACAAGTAAGTGGGGCTGAGAGAGCTCTGAGAGAACTGCTCTTGAGAGAATTGCTCCGAGAGAACTGTGACTGACCCAAGGTCACCCAGTTGGCTGCAGGTATGGGGAATCAAACCCAGTTCTCCGGATTAGAGCCCACCGCTCTTAACCATGACACCAAACTGGCTTGGCTCTGAACCACCACACCAGGACTACCTCGGGGCCCAAGGCGGGTGCTAGGATTCATCCCAAGACACACCGGTTCCATGGCTGCTGTTCCTTTGATTTCAGGAACCCTCGAGTGCAAGTTGGGAGGCCGTGGAAGAGCAGTCACTGTGTGTAGCACCCCCAAAAAAACGCACTCCTGCTCTGCTTCCTGGCTGAAGCACAACATGACTGCTGCTGTGTAGGTTCACTTTATTTACATTAGCAAAGCGTCTCTCTTGTCCGTCCATTCCCCTTTTCTTATCTTTTGACTCTCCTTGTCAGGAGTACAAAAGTTGTATTATTTGTTGTGCAGAATGCCTGCAATTTGGATGTACTCCTAGTTGGATCGCTCATCTGTGGCTATTTGTCTGCTCTGAAAGGAAAGCAATTAGGCTTTTGCTACTGTGTGAGCAGTACATTATATTCTTTTGGCGTTATCTTTAGGTGCACATATCCCCGTTGTAACCGGGAGCACAGTCCCAATGCATGGCAGCAACCTGTGCCATAAGTGGTTAATTGCTAACCCGTAGTGAGATATCAGGGAGCTGTGGTGGCTCAAGTGGTTAAGACGCTGAACTGCAGGCTGTGGAAGGTCGGTAGTTCAGCAGTTCGAGACCCGGGTGTGCCGCATGACGGAGTGAGCTCCCGTCTCTAGTTCCAGCTCCTGCCAACCTAACAGTTCAAAAGCAAGAAATTGCAAGTAGATAAATAGGGACAACTTCGGTGGGAAGGTAACAGCGTTCCGTGCGCCTTGGTCTTTAGTCATGCCAGCCACATGACCACGGAAACGTCTTTGGACAGCGCTAGCTCTTCGGCTTTGAAATGGAGATGAGCACCGCAACCCTAGAGTCGGACTCGACTGGCTTTCGAGCAAGGGAACCTTTACCTTTACTGAGATATCAGCGTGGAGTTCGTGGGTGATGCTGACTCCGAATATATGGGTCAGTGGAAGAGTTTGCTTGAAGCCCACTGCCTGAACCCTGGGCGTGATTTGTTGCAGTGTTCTGATATAAGAGGTGAATAGCACCAGTGAATAGTCATTGGGCAGCCGTGGGAACGGGGAAGGAGGTGCTGTTTACAGATTAACCAGCCTATCTAGACAAGTTCAGCTTTATAATTTTAGATAATATTTAATTTAAAATTTTTTTTGTGAAAATGTACCCATGGCTCTTAGTGCAGCTTTGCAATTTCTTTCTCACCTTGGGCTCCAAAGTGATAAATTGCATCTGCCTCATGTACCCAATGTGGGAAGAGGGTGAGTTTTGTAGATACCATTGTGCAGTGTTTCCAAGCCTGCATGTTGGACCATCCAGGACAGTTGCCATCTTATTTATATATAGAGAGCACTTTGTTGTTTTTAAGATTTTAACCTGTTTTTATTGTTCTAATTTTTAAAGCTTTATTTTAATCTTTTTGATGCCAGTCGGCCTTGTAAAACCGCCCTGAGCCTGCTTGGGCGGGGTATAAAATAAATAAATAAAAGTGGGTCGCCAAGTCTGTGAAAGTGGGTCACAGGCCAGTCCTCCCTAATGGCTGACCCCCGACCGTTCCATTGCTCTCTTTTACGTTTCGGAATCCAAGATCTGACCCTGGAAATAGCATCTTCCATGCCATACATTGGAGCTGCGGTGGCTCAAGTGGTTAAGAAGCTGAACTGGAGGCTGTGGAAGGTCAGTAGTTCAGCAGTTCGAGACCCGGGTGCCACATGGTGGAGTGAGCTCCCGTCTCTAGTTCCAGCTCCTGCCAGCCTAGCAGTTCGAGAGCAAGAAATTGCAAGTAGATAAATAGGTACCACTTTGGTGGGAAGGGAACAGCGTTCCGTGCGCCTTGGTGTTTAGTCACTCTGGCTACATGACCACGGAAACGTCTTCGGACAGAGCCGGCTCTTTGGCTTTAAAACGGAGATGAGCCTAGAGTCGGACTCGACTGGCTTTCGAGCAAGGGAACCTTTACCTTTTTACTATGCCATACATTAGTGGGTATTTTTTCTTCACTGCATATATGTGCTGATCAATTCCGCAGGGCCTGCAAGACGGAGCTCTTCCACCAGGCCTTCACTGGAGGCAGGGGGCGCCCACCTGTTTTTGGCCTCTCCTCCGGTGACCTCAGATTTGCATGGCCACCTGGGAGCAAAGTGCTTCTTGTTGACTCTGTTGAGGCACCCGTCTGTTAACTGAATATTGTTTATACATAGTTCCCCCCCCCCAGATATATATTTAACTAGGGACTTGTTGTACTGTGAATTTTATGATGGAACCCGCCCTGAGCCTGTTTGCGGAGAGGGCAGGAGACAAATCGAATTAAATAAATAAATAAGTAAAATGGGTCCTGATAGTTACTAGAGCGAGTTTCTTAGTCTTAGGGGAGATTGGAGGAAGGAATGGAGAAGGAGAAAGTGTCCGTGTGGGAGTGGCTCCTAGTTTTGGAGGGGCTGGCTGTCGTGAGCTGTCCATCCTGGTAGTTAGCTGGGCTGACGCCTGTTCTTCCCA